CAACGTCCTCCCAGCAAGCATAAGAAATATTGCCGGAACAACCGTGGACATCTTCAAGAGAAAACTAGATTTATTCCTCCAAGGAGTGTCGGACCAACCGGGCTGTGGTGGGTATGTGGGCCTGCGGGCCGCTCCAAGCAACAGCCTAGTGGACCAAACTCTCACAAGTCAAGCTTGGCCTCAGGCCGGGCTTGGGGAGTAGAAGAACTCCCAGAACCCCATCAACCAGGAATCAACCAGTGTCCCCGCGGCCCAGTCCTCGACCAGGCCTCCACCCCCAGGAAGCAGCCCGTGACAGCTGACTAACACCCAGGTACCTATTTTACTGCTAGGTAACAGGGGCATAGGGTGAAAGAAACTCTGCCCGTTGTTTCTCGCCGGCGCCTGGGATCGAACCCAGGACCACAGGATCACAAGTCCAGCGTGCTGTCCGCTCGGCCGACCGGCTCCCTGGTGGTGGTGGTGAGGGAGGGAGGGAGAGTGGTGGTGGTGGTGAGAGGGGGAGGGAGAGTGTTGCTGGTGGTGAGGGAGGGACAGAGAATGTTGGTGGTGGTGGTGAGAAAGGGAGGGAGGGAGGGAGGGAGAGAGTTGATGGTGGTGGTGAGGGAGGGAGGGAGAGTGTTAGTAGTAGTGGTGGTGGTGAGGGAGGGAGGGTAAGTGTTGGTGGTGGTGGTGAGGAATGGAGAGTGTTGGTGGTGGTGATGGATGGAAGAGTGGTGGTGAGGGAGGGAGGGAGGGAGTGTTGGGGTTGGTGGTGAGGGAGGGAGGGAGGGAGGGAGTGTTGGGGGTGGTGGTGAGGGAGGGAGGGAGTGTTGAGGGTGGTGGTGAGGGAGGGAGTGTTGGTGGTGGTGATGAGGGTGATGGTGGTGAGGGAGGGAGACTGTTGGAGTGGTGAGGGAGGCGTGTTGCTGACCAGGTGATGGTTGCCAAACCTCTCACCCATACTGTATTAAAATTTTTAATCCTAGTTGTAAAATATTTATGCCAAAATGTGTTAATTTTTGTTTATTACTATACATCATTAATCATTAACATGTTTTATGGTTTCCTGTATATTAATTAAACAAATATAGTTTTATTTATGAATTATGCACAGTTGGCATCCGTGAGCAGGGGCTGACAGACATGTCCGCTCTACGCCTTGCCTCGACCCCTTTAGTAGCTCCCTTGACCTCGTTAGTACCTCTCTCCTCTATAGCCTGCTGTTCTCATGTTATGAGGAAGGCAGTGAGGGAGGGATGGAAGACATTGAGGGAGGGATGGAAGGCATTAAGGAAGGGATGGAAGGCATTGAGGGAGGGAAGGAAGGCATTGAGGGAAGGATGGAAGGCATTAAAGGAGGGATGGGAGGCAGGGAGGGAGGGCGAGTGGTGGTGGCGGTGAGGGGAGAGTGGAGGGGGGTGAGGGGAGAGTAGGGGGGAGTGAGGGAGGGGAGAGTGGCAGTGAGGGAAGAGTGGCGGTGAGGGAAGAGTGGTGGTGAGGAAGGGAGGGAGGTGTTTGGTTAATGTGGTTCACTTGTTGTGTGGTCCACTTGTCCACTTGTGTGATTAAACTTGTCATATGAAGGAATTATTAATTGTAACCTGTGATAGACTGGGCACTAACACAGGAACTAACTTGGAACACGATTACAAAATGAACTTTATTTCATTTTAGTTATATAAAATATATCATACTTGAATGTTGCTCAAAATATTACCGACACTTCAACAACTTCGGAAATACCGGAGCCCCGAAAACAATGACCTGGGTACAGCCCCATATAGGCTATTAAATCGAGTAGATACTGTATACAGTGGAACCTCGTGTGACGAGCGTCTCCATCTACGAGCATTTCGAGTAACGAATGAGCCATTCGCCGAAAATTTGTCTCGATTGACGAGCTTCTGCTCTGTTAACGAGAAAACCATGTGGTGCTTCCTAGCGTTCCCGCTGGTTCTCGCAAATTCTCGGACACCTCCATGACTGCTGTAATGTTGCAAAGCATTGAATTGATTTTTTTTTTTTTTAAATTTGAAAAAGAACAAATGTCAAAAAGGTTCATTCAGTGTATGTCAGATAGACTGCTCCATTTTCTAAAAAAAAAAAATGAAAAATAAAATTAAAAAAAATTAAAAAAAGAGCAAATGTCATAAAGGTTTGTTCAGTGTATGTCTGGTAGGCTGCTCTATTATTTAAAATATCGAATATCATATTGATGTTTTTCGGTGGTGGAATGTATTAATTTATTTCCATTATATTAAATGGGGAAGTTCGTTTCAAAAGACGAGCGTTTCACATGACGAGCTTGGTGCCGGAACAGATTAAATTTGTTAATAGAGGCTCCACTGTACTGTACAATTTTTGTTTAACTGCCTGCACAGCTCACATCGTATATATACATTTTAAAGAACCGTGTAAGATTTAAAAGTCCTACGGCTACACGAGGTTCACATCAGCTTCCTCGGCTCTAGTAAACAGACGTAATAAAAAAAATATTGGGGTAACATTCCCAAGTGTGAAGGACTCGGTACTGAGTGAGCAACCAAGGCTGGCGCACGCAGCATGAGCTAACAACACTGCTGTTCAGCTTGTGACCACAGCATCGCCTAAAAATTTCAAAATATATATGTAACTGCTATTATTTAGCTATGATAGTGTTACAGAAGAGCCTGACTGTGATTAAGACTGTGTACAATGTTCAGATATCAGTTAACACAATGCTGTTCAAGATGTTCACAGTGCTAGCCACAGCACACTGTTATTGTTTGGTCCATCTACAAATCTTGAAACGACTTGTCATGTTCCTTTACAAAATAGACTTGTGGAAAATTATTCATTTACAGGACTTAATGACCAGAATTCTGATAATAGCAGCACTGTAGCGAGTATTAGCAATGTGCATAGTATGGTGGGAGGAGGAATCTTGGTGAGGGGAGGTGGCGTCAGCAAGCTGGTGTGTGGCAGCCAACGTTATTGTCTGGACTCGTCATACCAGCTTAGTGGTTCATTATGGTGAACACAAATGTAGATACCTATATATAATGTGTGTGTATATAGTGTAATAACAGCACAAACAGTATGGTGGGAGGAGGAATGTTATGGGGGAGGGAGCATTGTCTGCTGACTGGTGGTTGGTTGTCACTACTATGCTGTTTTGATGCACCATACCAGCTTAGTGCTTCGTTATGGTGAACAAAACATGCAGATACTGTACTTATATATAACGTGTGTATATAGTGAAATAACAGCAAAAATATTTAATTATTGTTTTATGAACATAATTGAATCACTAATATGCACATTATAATTTTGAGTATAGCAATGATTCATACATTTTAACCACCATATTACTGCAAAAAAAAAAACAGAGAAAAAATAAATCGGAGACATTGAAATAATTAGGTAATACTGTATCTTTGTGGCAACTCCTGTCTGACAGCTCGGGTGGAGGAGACTGGCCCGGACGCCTACTCTGTCAGCGCCTGAATCTTGCCAGAATTCCTCGCCCTATTGCGGAAAACATGTCGCCTACAATTTTTTTATTATTTTTCCAGTGATCAGGGAACACATTTTAACAATGTTAGGAAACAAATGTTTGTTTTGAATTTGTATTTTCTGTAGAGAAATATTAGTGTTGTCGGCTAATAGCAGCAGCAGCGTCGCCCAGTGGTTAATGTTCCTGGGCCCAGCTGGTCATGTGAGCCTTGACACTTGGGCTGGTTTCTTTATCTTAGGTGCCTGCTGTCTTCTCCTCCTCCTCCTTGGTAAGTCCCTTTACTGATCTGTGATTAGTTATCTTCAGGGAGCCATCAACTGACTCCCTCCAGAAATCTGCATTGAATGTAATGAAACTCCTGTTTCTGGAGGAATCCCAGTGGCTCCCCAACATCCTTCCACCCTCCTGGTTCATTGTGGGATTTATTCATCAGGTCCACAACTGACTTGAGGAGCCGGCTTGCAGATGGGGCCGGGCCGGGCTGCCTTGTGGTGGTAATCAGAACTAAGGAGTTTTGAGCTCGTTTGAGTGAATTCCTTGTTCTGTGTGCGACTCGTTTGTAGAGTTGTTTTTTGTTTTTTGTGGAGTTGTTTAGTAGTTTTTGTGGTTTTTTCTTTGACCCCCATAGTACCCCAGACTAGTCAGTCTTTAAAGCTGCACTGACTTTCTGGAGGCTTTTTCTGGTTGAATGGTGAATTGTCACCTCCCTATGTCTCTTATGATAAGGGGCCAGGTTCTACCTTTGGTGCCCGGTAGCTCAAACGAAATTACCATGACTGATGTGACCATTTAGTATGAAGCAATCTCAGGAAAATTGCTTCAGGGAGCCATCAGTGCTCCTCCAGAAAGAAACGCTTTATTACATTCAATGGTTTTTTTTCCCCCACCTGAAGTATAAAATATAAACTTCCAACAACTGGATTTTCACTGTTGGAATCATAATAAATCACTTATTTAATTCTTGTCATAGGGCAAGAGTTGTATTTTGTAGTTTGTGGTGTAGCTTCAGCTTGCTCTTGTCACCCTTGGGGATGGGATGGGTCCAGAGTGTAACCTTGTATTGCATGAGAGGGTAGTAACACATGGCTAGTTTATGGGGATGGGCCCAGTTATTTTAGCAGGGAAATGCAATAATTTCAGACACTCTACAATTGTTGTAATATTTTATATTCGGTAAATAATAAGATGAAGAAAACTTGTTGGATAATATCAGTAAATAAAGGTATACTTGCTCAGTTAATACTGGTAAAAGATCTGTTTTATGGTATAACTGCTATTTTAACTTTTATAACATTGGATATATAAAAATGTATGGATTTTTAAAATTCTGTCTTGAATATATTTGTATGAATTAGTTCCAAGAGGAATAAGGTGTTGTTGATGTAGAATTTGTGTATTTTAAGAGTTTAGTAATCTGTTTAGAAGTATTGAGTAGATGGTAGAGCTTAGAATTTTACTATTTAAAACTTGTGGCAGTATTCATCTTTGGTTGTAGATTTCATCGCCAACATACCTTTGACAGATCCAGATCCCATTTGATACATATTTCAAAGTGGAGCCTCTTGCTAAGTTTCATCGTGTCATGACCATGCAGGAATTCATGGACAAAATTGCACAGACTATCTGGCCACCAGAGATGAGAATTGGTTAGTGTCTTACTTTAGTTTTATGACCATTAGTACTACAGTATAGTTTTGGCATGAAACTTCATTATCTCACTAGTAAGATGCAGAACTCTCTACATTACAGAATAGTGCTGATTTTTCCAGACATTATCACAATAATTCAGTACTGAGATAACATTCTCTACCACAGTGCCTAGTTTCATAATATTATCTAACACTACAATACAGTGTCTTATTTTCTTGATATTCTCTACCATTACAATAGAGTGCCTACTTTCATGATATTCTTTACTACTACAATACAGTGCCTACTTTCTTGATATTCCCTATCACTACAATACAGTGCCTACTTTAATAATACTCTCTACCACTATAATACAGTCCCTATTTTAATAATACTCTACCACTACAATACAGTGCCTACTTTCATAATATTCTCTACGACTACAATACAGTGCTTATTTTCATTGTATTCTCTACCCCTTTCAATACAATGCCTACTTTCACGATAATCTCTACAATTACAATACAGTGCCTACTTTAATGACATTCTTTACTGTTACAAAACAGAGCTTACTTTCATAATATTCTCTACCACTACAATACAATACCTCTTTACCTCTACAATATAGTGCCTACTTTCATAATATTCTCTAGCACTACAATACAGTGCCTACTTTCATGATATTCTCTACCCTTTCAATACAGTGCCTACTTTCATAATATTCTCTACCACTACAATACAGTGCCTACTTTCATGATATTCTCTACAACTACTATACAGTGCCTGCTTTCATGATATTATCTACCATTACAATACAGTACCTACTTTCATGATATTCTCTACAATACAGTGCCTACTTTCATGATATTCTCTACCACTACAATACAGTGCCTACTTTCATGATATTCTTTACAATACAGTACCTACTTTCATGATATTCTCTACCATTACAACACAGTGCCTACTTTCATGTTATTGTCTACAATACAGTGCCAACTTTCATGATACAGTAGAACCTCGAGTGACGACCTCAAATGGCTACCATTTTGGGTAATGAACGCCCCGATCGCCGACAATTTGTTTCATTAGGCGACCGTTCGTTTGAATATGTATTTATTTATATACAAGAAGTTACATTGAGGGTTAACAGAGAATATAGAAAATAAGCTGACTTAACATTCTTGTAAAGGCACTAGCACGCACAGCGCTTCGGGCAATAATGTCAACAACACATGGTAGGGGTCTGTGGCTGCTTCTCGCACATTCTTGGACTCCTCCAAAGATGCAAATAAATTATTTATTATTTTTCTTTGTGTACAGATGCTATTGATGCTGGGATGTTGCAAAGCATTGACTTTTTGTAGAAAAACGAAATGAATTTTTTTAAAGAAAGAACAAATATCAAAAAGGTTCGTTCGGTGTTTGTCAGGTAGGCTGCTCCATGTTTCTTAAATAAAAAAAAAAAAAGTTGAAACTATTTGAAAAACGGACAAATGCCATAAAGGTTTGTTCAGTGTTTGTCGGGTAGGCTGCTCCGTTATTGAGAAATAAATGAAAATTCAAAACAAATGAAACACATTTGAAACAAAGATTGTCATAATGGAGCAGCCTACTTGACAAACACTGAACGAATCTTTATGGCATTTGTCCGTTTTTCAAATTGTTTCAACTGTTTTTTTTATTTTTTTTTATTTAAGAAACATGGAACAGCCTACCTGTTGAACACCGAACGAACCTTTTGCTATACAAAAAATGAAAAAAAAAATTGAACAAATTTGAAGAAATAAAAATGTCATAAGGGTTTGTTTAGAGTATGTAAGGTGGGCTGCTCCATTATTTAAAACATTGAATATCATATTGATATTTTTCGGTGGTAGAACGGATAAATTTGATTTCCATTATTGTCAATGGGGACATTCGTTTTGTATGATGTCCGTTTCACATGACGATCATGGTGCCGAAACGGATTAAATTCGTTATTCAAGGTTCCACTGTATTTTCTTCAAAACAGTGCCTACTTTCATGATATTCTCTTCCATTACAACACAGTGCCTACTTTCATGATATTCTCTAGCACTACAATATAGTGCCTTTTTTCATGATGCTCTCTACCAATACAATACAGTACCTACTTTCATGATATTCTCTACCACTGAAATACAGTGCCTACTTTTATGATGTTCTCTACCACTACAATACAGTGTCTACTTTCATGATATTCTCTACCACTACAACATAGTGCCTACTTTCATGTTATTCTCTACCACTACAATACAGTGCCTACTTTCATGATATTCTCTACCATTACAACACAGTGCCTACTTTCATGATAATCTCTTCCATTACAACACAGTGCCTACTTTCATGATATTCTCTTCCAATACAATACAGTGCCTACTTTCATGATATTCTCTTCCAATACAATACAGTGCCTACTTTCATGATATTCTCTTCCACTACAATACAGTGCCTACTTTCATGATATTCTCTTCCACTACAATACAGTGCCTACTTTTATGATATTCTCTTCCACTACAATACAGTGCCTACTTTCAAGATATTCTATACCACTACAATACAGTGCCTTCTTTCATGATTTTATCTACATTATAACACAGTGCCTACTTTCATGATATTCTCTACTATTATAACATAGTGCCTACTTTCACGATATTCTCTACCACTTCAATACAGTGCCTACTTTCATGATATTCACTACAATACAGTGCCTTCTTTCATGATATTATCTACCACCACAATATAGTGCCCACTTTCATGATATTATCTACCACCACAATATAGTGCTTACTTTCATGATATTCTCTATCACTACAATATTGGGCCTACTTTCATGGGATTTGCTACCACTACAACACAGTGCCTACTTTCACAATATTCTCTACCACTACAATACAGTGCCTGTTTTCATGATATTTTCTACCACTACCACTGGGTGCCCTCTGGGAGTGCACCCAGAAAGTTAGGCAAAACAAAACAGACTACTATCTGGTTAACCTGTGCAATATATGTCCTAAAAAAACAAAATAACAACTCTAGAAATAAATCAAACAAGCAACACTTTATGCAACTAGCACTCCTGCTCATTAGTGCTACCCTGCCCCCCCCCCTTCTTTTGAGGGGGAGGGGAGCATGCAGCCCACCACTCCAGTTCTTGAACTGATGTGCTGGTGGTCAGACATCATCTCTGGTCTCAATTACTTGTTCTGGATTTTTGCCATGTGGCTGTTCCAGCTGTGTGTGTGGTGTGGTGGCCAGGTGTCTTTAGTGTACAGGAGCAGCATGCACCTAGGGTTATTTTCCTTTAGAGGCTTTGTAAGTACAGAAGAACCTCGAGTGACGAGCGCCTCAATTTTCGAGCATTTTGGGTAACGAGCCCGCAGATCGCCCATAATTCGTCTCATATAGCGAGTGCTCGTTTGAATAACAACAACGCCACATGGTGGGGTCGCGTTGCTTCTCGTACATTCTCAGACGCCTCCGACGATGCAAATATATTATTTTCTTTTGTTTAAAGATGCTAATGATGCTGGGATATAAAGGGGTGTCTGCTGTGATATTGCAAAGCATTGACTTTTATGTAGAAAAAGAAATGAAATTATTTGAAAAACAGCAAATGTCAAAAAAGGTTCGTTCAGTGTTTGGCAGGTAGGCTGCTCCATGTTTCTTAACACTTTCGCCCACAGACGATGCAGCATTGCATCTTCCGTTTAGTAGACGGACTTCCACTAATGACGCAGCATTGCGTTGTCTTTCGCGGCAAATTATCGGCAGTTTCGGAAGTGGTGCGCCCCGGTTTTGGACATTATAGGCATATACTCGTGTAGGGAATTTCATTGCGAACACAATGATAGCAAAATGAAGACCTAGGACCAGAATTAAGGTAACAAAGTTGAAAAGAGTATACAGTACAACCTCAGTTCAACGTACCCTGATTCAACGAATCTCCAGCTGGTTTGCACACTTTTCAGGCCGGATTTACTCACCAAGTTTGACTAACAATGGTTCGCCGAAGCGGGGGATCCGCTTCCGCCGACCGAATCCAGGGATCCCTTCACGATGGTTGTACTCTTCAAGTCACTGGTGTTGTCCCGTCTCAGGTACTGCTCAGTACTCGCTAACCCCCTTTTGTCCCCCTCCCTGTTCAGCTCGTTGTTGCCGTGAGGGGGCTGCCGGAGTGTGATGCTCCTTGGGACAGTCCCCTGTCCTTTTGTAGCTTTGTGCTCCTGCTGCTTTCCTCTCTAATTGTGCTGAATGATTTCCTTTTCCTTCTGTTTCGTTTTTCTCCCCCCCTCTTCTCCTATCTGCTTGTCGTTTCCTGCCGACCTTTTGCTTGAGGAGGCATACTCTTGCATCCATAGAACTGTAGTACCCAATGTCGAGAGTGAGGGGAACTTTTTATTGTCAATCCTCCTTTCGTCACTGAACCCGATCTCGACGGACTGGCGGTTCTTAACACTATTGGTAACTTTGGACCGGACTCTCATCCATTATTTCTCTCTTGAATCCTAACTTTGGACCGGACTTGTGTCCACTACAAAAATATTTGTATAAAATTCATTTTTTATCCAATCAACCTAGGGATAGTATCAAAATAAGCGCCTTTAGAATGCGCACAATTTGATACCAAAATGAAAGATGTAACATGAAACTTGATGTCTGAACACATATGATTATAAATAGGTTTTTGGTCAAAATTTTAAAATACTGTATTTGTTAAAATTCTATTTATTGTGCTATTATATCGGGACTAGTTTTAAAATGCGCGCCTTTACGTCGCGAACAATTTGATACCAAAATGAAAGATGTAACACAAAAATTTATGTCGGAACACTGGAAAGATATAATTTTGTGATAATGAGCTTCCAGAATTAAAATATTTGTTAAAATTCCAGTTATTGCTCTATTATTATGGGACTAGTTTTAAAATACATGCCTTTTTATTGCGAACAATTTGATACGAAAATGAAAGACGTAACACGAAAATTGATGTTATCAA